TGAGCCGGCCAAGTCAATATGAATCCCAAAAAATGAATGCAATAAAAAATAATTCCAATGAATGAGTATTCACAGCATCTGGTTAAGACAGAATCAGACGAAAAATCTGAAGAACCACCGCCACTTGTCTCCAAATCGCTGGTTCCTCTTCTCGACTTGTACGACACTGGCGACCATTGCCCGATCTTTCGCAAGCTATAACTGCCACTGGATTAATACATAAAATGACAGAACACTGGATGAAAGGTAGCCATACGAGAAAGCAGGGTTCCAAAGAGAGATAGGCACGATCGACCAATTACATGATTACGATCAACGAAGATTCTTCAAAGTACATGACGGCGCTACATCGTATGTTTATCATCTTGAAGTAAACCTTAGACTGGATAGATTGAAGCAGTCATTAAGGCCCTGGACAACAAGGGTGTCCCTACTCAGTACATAGGGATTCTTCGTGAGCTCTACAGCAACTTTACGACCAGGATCTCACCATTCTACAAGGAGGTCATCATCGACGTCAAGAGAGGGGTTCGACAGGGCGACACCATCTCGCCCAAACTCTTCAGCGCCGCTCTCGAGAACGTCATGCGTCAACTGGAATGGGAAGACATGGGAGGAAGGTCGACGGCCGGCAACCTACACCACCTTCATTTGCTGACAACGTCGTACGATAACATTGAAGATATGTCAGGTGATCCGAATGCTCAAGGTCGGGATGTCAACATTATGAACGACCTAGCTCCAGAGCTGAGCAGGAGGAAACGAGCGGCTTGGGGAGCGTACAAGAACATCGAGGGAGTAGTGAAGAAGACGAAGAACATCCGGCTCCGTGCCCACCTCTTCGATTCCGCTGTCCTTCCTGCCCTAACCTACGCCTCAGAGACTTGGACTGTGCAGGCAGGACGAGCATGTCGCCAGCGCTTTCCACGGCGATGTGGAGAGAACTATGCAAGAGTTTTCTAGAGATGCAAGTGAGGAGGGAAATTCTGAGTCCCGTCAGCGATTAGGTGCGCTGCTTTTCCGCCGAGTTTTCAGAGATCAGGTGAACCGCCGGGCATTTCGGTCGATTCTATGATGACAGTTGGATCATGGTGAATGCAATCTATAATAGAATCTACGGGATGTTGAACGGAGATTAACAACGTTTCCTCACAAGAAATCCGTACGAAGAGAATGTTGAGTTGCGCTTAGTTCGAGTGAGGAGAATCTGTAAGAGTACTTTGGCGCGCGCCAGGAGCGAATAAAGAAGTTTCAGTTACCACTCAAAGAACTCGGTGAACAATGAGACGACAGGCGGTATGGGAAACAGGAATAAACTCGGAATGGTTTTCAAGTTGTTAAGCATCATTCAATTGGAGCGAATCAATTATTTGACGTAGGAACAAGAGAATTTTGATCAGCTGAGAATTCATTTTCTTCCTGCAAATGTGGTGTGAAACTGATTGACTCCTTAGCCTGCCTAAACACCACAGTAGAGAGCGTTTTTGAAGAGGAGACAATATATGATGCCAAAGTTGAGCTAGACGTAACAACCGAAAGCATGAATATGATGCAAGCCTTCCATAGCGTGTAGCCTCTTCATGGTGATAGGGACATAAATAATGTCGCCCATTGGGCTGCACATGACTTCTATTCATAAACCGACTAGAGCTTTGTCCGGTTCATCCCTGTATGTATGTGTGTCTGTATGTAATTCTATGTGAAAGTATTGCATACAATGCCAGACGCCGCATACAGTAGCGGTCAAAAGTTTGGAAACTTTTTTATTTTTGATCTAGCGCGGCCGACACATAACGAAATTGTCCTCAAATTTAGATATTCCATACAAAATCAAGTCAGAATACGATGGGAAAATTTTCCAAAAATCTATAATCATATTTGAGAAATAAGATTTTTTTCAAGTAATGGCGCGTCAAAAGTTTGGAAACTTTTTGTTTCCCTCATCATTATGATTCCTACTCTTCAATGTTTACTTGTTTCTGTTAATTTTAGTTCAACCATTGAGTAATGTGTAATTTCAAAATGAATTCATATGCAAAGGAAGCAGTTTTCCACAGTAGATTTTTTAAACCTTACAGTCTGGAATACGAAATTGAAATTAATTCTCTTCAGTTAAATCTTCACGGAAGCATCATTATCTAGAGTTTTTAGCCTTATTGAAGTTGAGCAGGTATAAGGAGAATAGTATTTCACAAAAAACATCCTCACAAGAAAATTAACCGTTCTCACAGATTTTGAAGGGTGGTTGGCACGTCTCTTCTCCCGGCGTCCCCAAACAAGAAAGCACTTTTACGAATTTTTTTCTAATCATATGAAAGTCCAAGTGCAGCACAACATCGGCCGCGACCTGGTGAATATTACGGATGATGTCCCAACAAGAAGCCATTGTTGGGCTTCAAGAGCAGGATGGCCCAACTGGCTTCCACACATTAACGGCTAACCTGGATGGAAGGCAAGAGGTAAAAATTCGTGCTCAGCGATGAGTCGAATTTCTGCTTTTTTGGAAATGATGTAGAGAACCTTTTGAAGTGATCTGCTGACAGGAACCTCATCTTAGGTATCAGATCCAACAGTCAGAAATAGTGGAAGTACTGTCATGGATGAGATGTGTCCGACCATTCGGCGATTCCCAGTTCTAGGTATCCAGCGAAATGTGGGTTGGGCTAAGTACAAGGATAGTCTGTAGAATACAATGCTTCCCTTCGATAGTCAGAACTAGCCGGAAAAGATGGGTTTTCTATCACGGAAATGACCCGATGCAGGCCTACCTCCTCACTGCCGCCTTCCTAAACCAGAAAAAGAAGCCGATATGAAGAAAACGAGTCAAGATCTGAGGTCCAACTGAGTTCTTTACCCCAGGTAAGAGCTGGCATGACGTACAATCCACATTCCAATAAAGAATCTCACAAAACAATGTGATTTAGTTCACAGTGTGTAGGGTTCGACTTAAAAGTTCTAAAATTATTTTATAATCAACTTCCATGTCAATAAAAACGATGCTGGCATAGAATTTTACAGCTACTCATCGAAATATTAATTTATCATGTAGATTCGAGAGCTATTTTGCCTGAATTCGCCTTGGAATGAGGAGTT